CTATTTCTGAACAGTCCTAGTTAACAGGAGCTTTGGAGAGACACCTCATATCCAAACCATAACACTTACTTTTTGAGAAAAGGAACATACTATTCCAGGAGCTAAAAGTACAATTCTTGAACAGGTGATTTTTCAGGTTTAATTGTATATAAAAATCTACTTGAGTATTATTAAAAATGCAGAGTTCTGGGCCTCAGCCTCAGGGATTCTGACCCAGTAGTTCTGGGGTAGAGTCCAGGCCTCTGCATTTTAATAAGTTCTCCCAAATAACTATGATGCAGGTGCCCCTCCTAAAGTCCACTTTAAAAAAATACTGCCACGGGGGTGGGGTAGCTCAATGGTAGAGCACTTGGTTAGCATGAGTGAGGCCCCGGGTTCAATTCCTGGTACCACACACACACAGCAAAACAAAAATTGCCCTTAAATGAATTTTATTCACTTATTCATTTGTTTCTTAAGCATTATCTTAAATGCTGAGGGTAGACCAGAGAACAAGTCACTGAAGCCACCTGCCTCAGGGAGACCCGGTCAACCAGGCTTCTTCCCAGGTCCCGCCCAAAGGGCCTTTTGTAGACCAGGCCTTCTGCACTTCCACCTCATGCCTAGTGCCACCTTAGCTCCTAGTGACAATGCTTTCCATTCTGTGGTGGGGCAGGCCACCTGCAGATACCTTGGAGGCCTCAGGATGGAGGAGGTGCAGGCTGGCGCCTGTGGAGGAAGCCCTTTGGATTCTCCCAACTTGGTAGCAGTTTCTCTGAATGAAGAGCTAAAGAATATGTTGGGGGTGGTGGCGGGCAGCCAGGAGGCGGGGACAGACTCCAGGGGTGCAGATGGGCTGAATCTGGCTGTGGAGGCTCAGCTGCTCAGCTTGAAAGGCAGTGAAATGTCTGTCCACCCCTCTCCCAGATGCAGCTTCCTGTACTCTGTGGGGTTCATTCTCACCTGCCATGCCAGTGCTCCCTCTGGGCAGTCCCTCGGTCCCTGGGGCCTTTGTCTGTCTCCCCTTTCCTTCCTATGACTTCAGAATGATTTTCAGGTGCCACCTGGAGTTCTCATTACCTTGTCAGAGGGGACCCCTTCCTGTTACTCAAATCCCAAGGGGCTGTCGGTCACCACCAGCTGCCATTTAGTCAGTGAAAGAAGCCCTAGAGTGTGTGTGTGTGTGGGGGGAGGATGTGTGCCCATTTTATGAGTGAGTGTGCATGAGGGTGGATGTGGAGTGACTGCATTACACATGGCCAGTGGCCAGCTCACACATAAAAAGTCCAACATGGACCCGTGATCTGCAGTAGCCTGGAGCCCAGGAAGCCGATCCTGGAAGGCAGGAATCGGCTCACTCTCCGACAGCTTCCCTCGTTTCCATCCCCACTTCTAATTTCAGAGAAGCCAAATACAGTTACTGGAACCCACAGGCAAACTTGCTGCTAGTCCCCCGCTGATGGGTGACTGTCACGGCCCAGCTGAAGCCTCCCGATGGATCTACTGTGAGTCCTGCCTGCCTTTGGGTCTCTGCAAAATGCAAGTGATGGCAGCTGTGTCCCACCCTGGAGCGAGCCCTGAATTAAACAGCCTTTGCTCATCCTCATTTATTCCCACAGTGTGCATGAATGAGAGGGGAAGCTGCCTGTGCACATGTGCGGGAGTGGGCACCCACGGCTCAGTGCTGGCGATGGGAAGTGGAATGGAGGGAAGGGAGTTCGCATCCGCTGTGAGATCCTATGACCTCTGAATGTGCTCCTCTAGGGTCGGTGGAGCCGGGGGGAGCAGGGGGGACAAGAGCAAAGGGAGAAGGAATCCGATGACAGAGTCGTGGATTAAAACTTAGCCATATCCCTTCTGCATGTGTTATCTGCCTCTCAATGCTACCTCAGGAGCTGGGGACTCTCCTGGGAGTAATATTTGACCCTGCCTGAGTATTTTCTTTTATTATTTACTTATTTATTTATGTACCAGGAATTGAACCCAGGCGTGCTCAACCCTGAGCCAGTATGGACAGTGATGGTAAAAACATTCTCCTCGTGATAAAGTGCTAAATGCCCCTAGAGCTGGTTTCTCTCCCTGTCCTCCCTCCTGAGCAGATGAGGCCTCAGAGCATTTCCATTCGCCTTTCCTGCTGTCAGGAAGCCACTGGCAAGCACCAAGGAGATCTTCCCCTGGCTCTGTGCAGGTCCCTGGCTCCCAGGCTCCTGGTGCCTCCCTGTGGCACCAAGGCTCTGACTTCCTGCCACAAGTGTTTTGGGATTTCATCTGAAGTCGAGCAGCTACTTGCTAAAATTGATGGTTGGTAAAATTAGAACAAACAGAGGTAAATAGCCCTTTCCCTGCCACACAGTCTCCCTGTGATTTTAACTGCAGCAGAGAGGTCGCTGGGGTGTTACCGTTTTCTGATCAATGATGGTAATTTTCTTTCCCTTAAGATCAGCTTTATCAAGCTAAGGGTCTTAGCAAACACTGGGGTCAAAAGAAAATTACATGCCTGTGCAGGATTTCTCTGTGGCTTCAGTTTATTTTGTACACCATTCTAACTGATTTAGGGTTGTGCTGCTTAGAAGCAACGCAAAGCACACTTGTTGAAACTCCAACAAGCTGTTTGGCCATTCCCTGGGGCTCAGAGGGAGGACTGCACAATAAGACAGGCTGAGGTCCAGCCCCAGATACCCGACTGCAAAAACTTCCCCAGCAAGCTGTAGTTTTAACAAGGAAGAACCCAAAGCTGGCAACCTTCCTTTTGCCAAATACATGTCTCAAGCCTTGAAGCAACAATGCTTTAATAGTTTGGAAATGGTAAAAGGAAAGAACTCCCAGGCCCTGGGCCTTCTGTCTTGCACGCGTGTGGAGAAATGCTTGCTGCTGCAGGAGTAACTGCCTCCTGAGCTCAGTGCTAGAGGGTCTGGAAGCCAGTGGTGTATTCACATGCTCCGCAAGAGTTCAGTGAATAGTTCTTTCCCTGTTGTTTTCTCTATTTCCTTCTGCTGTTCTGTGTTATCTTCTAAAGTGAAAAAAGCATAGTTTATCAGGAGTTCACTTAATTGCCAATTTAAAACATTAAATGCATACTGTAAATCCATGAACAAACTGATCATTACATGAATCACCAACCTATTTCCTGTAGATAAGAACTAAGATAAACATGACTATGACATTGAAAAACAGCCATTCACTAAAGAAAAAGTTCTTGGCTGTGACCTGGCTGAGGAATTCCAGTTATCTTCTGCATTTACACCATTTAGATCATGAAGATAAAGTGACTCTCTGGGTGTGCCTCTCCAGGTGTGATGGTGCATGCCTATATGGCTCTGGAGGCTGAGGCAAGAGGATCACAAATTCAAGGCCAGTCAAATCAATTTAGCAAGGCCCTAAGCAACTTATTGAGATCCTGTCTCAAAAAATAAGGAGGGTTGGGGATGTGGCTCAGTGGGTAAGCACTAGGGTTCAATTCCAGTGCGAAAGAAAGAAAGAAGGAAGGAAGGAAAGGAGGGCAGGAGGGAGGGGAGGAGGGAGGGAGGGAAGGAAAAGAAAAGAAAAAGAAAGAGAAGGGAAGGAAGGAAGGAAGGAATAATCCAGATGGTAATCTGCATGGTGCATGGAAGGGTTCAGAGGTGAGATGAGTCCCAGGCCTTGACCCTACTCATTTCTCTCTGCACAGCAGCGAACATGATTAGGAGACTGTAGTCAGTGATGCTTAGGCCCTAAACCTGAACCATGAGAAAGACTTCAGATAGCATACAAAAACCTAGTACATGCTGGGCACACTGGTGCACATCTGTAATCCCAGGTACTTGAGAGGCTGAAGCAGGAGGATTGCAAGTTTGAGGCCAGCCTCAGCAACTTAGTGAGACCTTGTCTCAAAAAAAAAAAAAAAAAAAAAAAAAAAGGCTGGGGATGTAGCACAGTGGTAGAGCACATTGGGTTCAGTCTCCACTACCATAAAACAATAACTACAACAACAAAAACTTGAACAAACTCGAACGTACTCTGATCTCCACAGTGTATGCAACAGACATTGCTTCCTACTTCGTTTCTGTGGGGTGGGATTTCCATTCTCATTCTAATCTGATCTAGTCCCATTTTGCTTGATGTGAACAACTTCTGAGAAATTTATAGTGAATGCAAGAAGGAAGAAGGGTGATATGCAGATTCCCTTTCCTGCTCGAAATTATTTTGGCCTCTGGAAGTAGATCCTCTGAATGATGGGTTAGCCCCAGCCAACAGAGTACTTACTACCTTGATCAAGCAGAGTACTACCTTGAGCGAGCAGAGTACTACCTTGAGCGTTCCTGTAGCCTCATGTCTTGCCTCCAGATGGGCCTGAGAGCAGAGGGAGAGAGATGAGCTGGTAGAGAATCTGTGTGGCAGTTGTCTAATGGTGAAATGGTCCCTGTCCTCTGGGCCTATGCTCTCCAACACGGAAACCACCGAGTTGTTTAAATTAATTTAAAAATAAATAAAATAGTGCTGGGGCGGTAGCTCAGTGGTAGAGTTCTTGCCTTGCACATGTGAGGCACTGGGTTTGACCCTCAGCACCACATAAAAATAAATAAATAAATAAAACAAAGCCATGCTGTCCATCTAAAACTACAAAAATATTAAATAAATTAAAATAAAAAAATTCAGTTTGCATTAGGCTCATTTCAAGCGCTCAGTAGCAGCGCAGTGCGGCTGGTGACTACTGACCTGGACAGCGCCGGGTTTGCATTTCCACCAGCGCAGTTTCACTGGACAGAGCTGTCCTAGGTTCTAGGCAGTCCCAAAGACTCCCAGGCGGGATATGGAAAAACCACAAACCCAGAAGGCACGTGGTCCAGGTCCCCCAGTCCCAGATCCTGAAGGACATCTAAGCCACAGGACACCGTTCCCAAGGGGGCATTTTCAAAAGTTGAAAACTGGGACTCGGAAGGGCCGGGGAGGGGTGCTCACTGAATCAGTGCTGGGTGAGCAACTTCTCTTTTGCAATCCTTGCTGGTCCGACAGGCTCCTGCAGTTACATCACTTCCTAAAAAACAGGCAAACACCTCTCCTTCAAGTGAGCACCGACCCAAACCAGCAGGAAACAGGAAATGTGCGCGCTGGAGGGAGGTCGGGGCGCCGCGCCGCATCCTGACCGCACCGAGGCTCGCTGACATGACCGCTGCCCGCGCCGCCCTGGTCTTCGCCCTGGGACTCGTCCCCGTCCGCCCGGGTAAGCGACCTCCGGCGGGGAAGGAGGATCGGAAGGGCTTGTGGGCGCCGGCAGCTACTGGACTCTGCAGGGGTGGGTCACGCCCAGAAAATCGAATCCTTTCTGTTACCAAAGTGGAGAAAATTAACTGTCCCGCGCGGGGCTCGGGGTGGAGGGTGGACTTCGCTGTCACCGCAGCCGTCAGATCGCGCCCCAGTCCTCGCTGGATCCAAGCCTCTTGCGAGATGGGTGGGTCCCTGTAATTGACCGACTTTAATGGGCATATTAAGAAAACCATAAACTTTTTGGCAGTTGGTGGAAAAGGACGTTTCAGTCGGCTGCAACCCAGGAAAAGTGAATTCGCTTTTCGTAGCGCGGGCTGAGAGGTCTGCAGGTTCCAAACGCTCTTGGAAAAAACGGGGCTATGGGAATGTATTACTGGAAAGCATACCAAAAGTTGGGAAAAAAATGTAAACAGGAAATTATCTGAGGACTTATCATGCACCCACTCTCTAACACATGGAGAAAGTTCTTTCATCTGCTTTTCTTTGATCTTGTTACTTCCGGGGGTATTTCCTTGCATTGATGGTTACTAATGATGGTTTGTTTGAAAAAAGTAATGATCGTAGCCAAGTAAAAGAACTGGAAAAGGTAAAATATTAAATCTCAATATGTTATGTTAAAAGTAGCTACTGATGTACTCTTGACAGTTGCTACAACAGGCAAGATCAGTCTCCATTGCTTCTTAAGGTTCTGTTTGACCCGCCCTTGGTACATAAGCTGGCTGCCCAGGGTTTCTGTCAATGGATACCGGCTGCTGCTAGAGTACAGCAGTGTTTGAAGCAGAAGGGAAGTTCTCAAGCTACAGTTCTTTAAATAGGACCAGGGACATCAGCCACTGACTTTGAGGCTAACTGTCAGCCCCCCTCCTTCCCAGCCCCACAACTGGGTGCTCTCGAGGGGTGTCCCCAGACATCTGAGGCGGAAGGCTGCCGGCAAAGGCTCACGTGTGCACTGGAAGGATGTTTGGTTGGGACTGGCATAAGTGGCTCAGAATGAGTTTGGGATCAAGGTGTTGTTTTACACACAAGATTTTGAGGCTGCAGGGGAAACATGAAGGAGCCCTGGGCACCTCTAGGAGTGAACTAAAGGGGAAACCCTCTTTAGTTCATCTCTGACTTCCTCAAACTCTGTAAGGGCTCAGCCTAAATAAGGAACTCAATAATTGTTGCTAAACACTAAATCATCCCTGGAAAGGGTATGAGGCTGGTCACTAGTAGCAAGATCAAGCCATACTGGGGGGGCAGAGGGCAACCAAGTGACAGAAGGTGAGGTGACTAAGTCCTGCTACCAGTCAACGCTTCCGACTTCTACCCCAGCGTTCTTTTCACTTCCTCCAGAGACCAATCACTCTCTCTGCTGCCGAGACCTGTGGACCAGTTCCTAGGAGACGGTTGCTCATTGCTTAAAGGAGCAGAACTTAGCTGAGCAGAATTTAGCCATGCCACCTCTGCATATTGTTGTGCCTCTCAATGCTCCCCTGAGAGTAATATTTAGCCTTGCCTGAGTATTTTCCATTATTATTATTATTATTATTAGTAGTAGTAGTAGTACCTGAAATTGAACCCAGGGGTGCTCAATCACTGAGCCACATCACATCCCCAGCCCTTTTTATTTTGAGACAGGGTCTCACTGAGTTGTTTAGCACTTCGCTTTTTGCTGAGGCTGGCTTTGAACTCGTGATCTTCCTGCCTCAGCTTCTCAAGCCTCTGAGATTACAGGCATGAGCCACTGTGCTTGGCTATGCCTGAGTATTTTCTTGAGCTCTTGAAAATTGATTGAATGGAGGTGTCTGTAGTTCAGGAGATGCTAAAAGAGGAGCGCAATTACTCTATAACTTTAAAAGGCTCAGATTAAATATGACCTTTTTTTTTTTTTGGACCAAGAATTGAACCCAGGGGCTTCTAACCACTGAGCCCCATCCCCAGCCCTTTTTATTTTGAGACATTGAGACGGGGCCTCCCTTAGTTGCTGAGGCTGGCTTTGAACTTGGGATCCTCCTGCCCCAGCCTCCAGAGCCTTCAGGATTACAGGCCCCGCTATGACCTCCTTCTCGATGTCTCTGTTCACAGTCCCTGCCCTGGAGCTCTGTTTATCCCCTGTCACATTTCCATGGTCCTGAACTCCTGTTAACACAGATAATTGCTTGGAACCCTAATTGTGTACATATCCATATCTCCTTCCACTAGACGGGGAGCACCTTCAAGGAAAATCCTCTTTAGTTCATGTTTTTAAAATTTATTACTATTGTTATTATTATAACTTGGTGCTGGGCATCAAATCCAAGGCCTCTCCTGTGCTAAGCTTGTGCTCCACCACTGAGCTGTTCCTTCAGACCCTTTAATTTATTTTTGGCTGTCCCTAAGTCCTACCAGAGCTTGGCATAAATTAGGAACTCAATAATTGCTGATACATGCTAACATCATCCGTAGACTGGATATGAAGCAGATCACTGAAAACTGATGAGTTCTTGAAAACAGGTAGTTTGGAATAGAAGAAGTCAAAGATGAAATCTGCATTTCAGGAGACCGCAGGGATCGGCCACATAATTGAATATGCTAACTGGCCCTGCCTGGATGCCCCTGTGTGTGAAAAATGCAAAAACGCCTACTTGAAAAAGCTGCTTAATAAAAGCTTATTATTTTGACATTAATCAAAGGAAAGGCTATTCCAAACTAAGGCTTAATTTTAAAATTAATTAGTGTATATGCTTGAGAGCTCATGGTGCCTGAGACTTCAGGATATGAGTCAGTTTATAAGTGTCACAAGAAGTCATCTGGGGATTTTTGGTAGAAGAAACCAATCTACTGACCAGCCAGAGTTTCACCTTGCATCTGTATTTTGAGATATATCCCAAGTTCAGCATTTGTGAACAACAAACAGGCCACATTATATGACACTGCAGTTGCATGAGACCAGCATGAGACCTTGGAGTCAATATCTCTTCTCTTTGTGTGGACAGACAGCCCGATGCAGGAATTGAGTGCTATCCCAAGTGAAATAATCCACTTGGAGCTCACCAGAAGACAAATAAGGAAACAGCTTTTCTGGGATTTTGACCAAATAGATGATCACTGTTTAAAAAGCTCTGGGCCATCACGTCTTGGCCAGCGAAGGATCCTCAGGAAGTTCAAACTCAGGGCCACACTCTGCCATGCAGTGGAGGGAGGCGCTTCTATCTCTGTTCTTTATGCTGTGCCCTGTCCATGTCAGCTTCACAGGGTCAGCAAACTAAAGGAACTTCCCAGACACCAAACACATGGGACTTATTAGCTGCCACAAGCAGAGGCGGTTACAGAAAGGAGAGCTAAAGAGCACCAGGCAGAAACAAGGTGTCGGTGACTGTTCTGATGGCCAGAGGCGAACACGGGAAGGACTGGAAGATTCTCTGTTCTGTTTCAGAAGAGTAAGATCCATACAATTACTGCATGAACCTTGAGAGGGAGAGAAAAGTAGAAGAACATACCAGCTGCATAACTGAAGTTGCACTTTCTTACACTGTAGAATCTGATATCTCACGTCAGTGATTAGGACTGCCATCTGCTATTTCCTGAGACAGTCCCAATTTCAAGAGTTAATAAGATTGATAGGTAACATTACAGTGCTTGTTATATGTCAGGTGCTGTTCTAAACGCTACATAAACTAGCTCATTTAATTCTCAAACAACCTTGTAAGGTGGACTCTGTTATCCCTGTTTTACATAGGAGAAAGTAGAGGCACGGAGAAGCTAAGTGACTTGCCCAAGATCACACAGCTAAGTAGTGGACCTAAGTAAAATTCTTCCTCAGAAATCCCTGCTCTAGCCACATACCATACTACCTTGGGGTTTTCCTGTTCTGTCAGGCTTGATGTCTAGTGGATTTGGGAAACCATGGCTCTGGTACTTTCCTTGCTATAGATGTATCACCTAGCTGTTGGCCCAGTTTCACAGTTATGGCATTTTAATAATAGGGTTCCATTTGTTTGCATTGGGTTGGGGACTGATTGACAGGGAAAGGGATGGTGAACGCTGGGTTAAACTTTGAGCAGCCAACCGGGAAGGGAGGAGCCCAAATAGTGCAGAGTGAGCAATCCGAGAATCTGGGTATTAGTTTAGGGAAGACCAGAAGCAGGAAAAGCAGATTGCCAAAGCCACTAGGTCAGAGGCTTCAGGGGGTGGGGACCTGGGAGAGAGAGAGTGGCTATGTCAAGCAGAGCTACTGTGGGAACTGACCCCAAGGACCAAGTGCACTCAGGGACAAAGACAAAAGAAACCACACAGAACGCTGAAACAACCTGTCAAAAAACAAGACAGAATAATACGAATAATAAAAATAAAAATCACAAGAAAAACAGAGGTAGAGAGGGAGTGAGGTTTAAAGTCCTCCTGTGTCTACAATTCTGAATCCCAGGAACAGAGAAGAGGCGCCCTGTTGGATGGATGAGCTCAGTTCTGTACGCAACCTCAACTTGCCTGCCTGTGTATCAATTTGCATCACCCTCAAATGTTGGCAAAGGTGTGGAGAAACAGGAACTGTGGGCCGGGGTGGAGGGGGTGGGGGGTGATTCAGTGCAATCCTACTGCTTAACCCATCCATTGGCCTTTGGATGTTGATGATCCTATTTTGCATTTCTAGAAAGTCTATCCTTTTAAAAAATAAAGTTCAGCTTTGTTTTTTAACCTTGGTTATTTATTCCTTTTTTTAAAAAAAAAAAGATATTTGTATTTTAAGCTCTTGTCATCTCATTGATGACTTTCTTTTTTTTTATACCAAGGATTGAACCCAGGGGGTGCTTGACCACTGAGCCACATCCCAGCCCTATTTTGTATTTTATTTAGAGACAGGGTCTCACAGAGTTGCTTAGTGCCTCGATTTTGCTGAGGCTGGCTTTGAATTCGTGATCCTCCTGCCTCAGCCTCCCGAGCCTCTGGGATTGCAGGCGTGCACCACAGTGCCTGGCACTTTGATGACTTTCCTCT